CAACATGTGAGCACACACTTGCTTCCTTTGTGGGGGGCAACCCAGGCAGAATTTTCCCATGCTGGAATAACCATGGAGACATTTGGAAAATGTGACTTGAATTCCATGCTGGAGGCCTGAAAGAGTGTGTGTGTGTGTGCGTGCACGCCTGTGCACGCACACACACACAGATGTGCACAAGTACCCCGGACGAGTATATAGCTAGAAGAATGTTTGCATGTATCTCAGGCAGGAGCAATGTCAGGTGTAGATAGAGTGGTCCGCGGCCCCGCTGCCGGCTCAAGCCCTGAACGGGTTGGAGCTTAAATGTCACTTCCAGCCCAGAAAAGGAGGGAGCGCTTCTGCTGCTTGTTTATACTAGTGTGTAAATGACTGACACAGGTTTTTTTTGGAACAGGTGTCGGCAGCGTGGGGATGCTGAGAGGGCACAAGTTCACGTTGGGTGGGCGGACAGGAGGGTTAAAGGTGTGTTAAAGCAGGAAGGGGGTTGCATTAATACAAGAGAAAAAGAAGAACAAATAGTTGAAGGTATAGGACTAAGGACAGACTTGCCTCCTCTCAGACGCTCACTAAGAGGTGACTTGGAGCTCATCACGACTGGACCACACAGACACCCAGAGAGGTGTCTTCTCTCCTAACCGGGCTCACTCAGCTGGATGTCTTCCAGTTCGGGGCCACCTTGGTGCGCGGTTTCCGTATGCGTTCCTGGGGTTCTCCCTTCCTCAGTCCCCAAAGCACATCTTTGGTGACCCCTTTCAGACGCGCCTTTCCAGTCAACGCGCCAGCTAGCAAAGCCAAACAGGGTTTTGCTGTGTTCTGTTGACGCGGAAAGCCGCCTGCGGGGGACGCTAGGGGTGAGGCCAGCGGGGCAGGGGCGAAAGCCCCCGGGGTGAGCGTGGGCTCTGCTGTCCTCCTGGCGTCCCAGGGCGGGGGCCGGGCCCCTGGGAGGGGCGTGGTCGCAGCCGTACTCAGGGTTCCTCGCAGTGCCTTTTCCCCGAAGTACAGCACTTCACAAGACTGAAGACGCACTGTTACTTTCCGGCACGGAAGAATGAAGGGGGCTTAGGTTTTGGCTGCTGCGACTCCGACGCGGCCCCTTTCCTCCCCTCTGGTCGAGGGGTACACGCCCGCCTCTCTGTCTGCTCCGGGAGAAAGCCCACGCCTCCGTGGGCTCCGATGCACACTGCCGCTCACGTGCGTGCCTGTGTGTGTGTGTGTGTGTGTGTGCACACGCACGTGTGCACCCCTGGCCACGAGCCCACGCCCCAGTGTGTGCTTGTGACAGACGCCGGCAGCGTTTGCAGGGCCGGCCCCGTGTGGTGCGCCACACGTTAAGTCCGGGACCGGGGAGGGCTGAGCCTCCGTCCTGGCCGCCTGCTGGCCAGGGCGGTCCCTGAACCCGGTTCCCATCGCTGCACCTGCTGAGAAAGCCCTTGGGGGATCTGGGATAGGGACCAGGGGATACAGTCCGGGTGGGGTTCTCCCCGGGCCCTCAGGGTCCACAGCAGAACCTGCCACAGCACGCGGCCTGACTGGGCCTCTCCCACCCGCTTCTCTACACCCTGGCCCCACTCCTGCACAACTCACACGCCCTCCCCGCGCCTTGGTTTCCGCGTCTGGAGAGGCCGAGAACAGCATGCTCAGCTCATAGGTGGTTGCCGAGGGCCCCTGAGTTCCCCGCCTGGACTTCGGGGCCCCTGCCCAGGTGCCCGGCCAGACTCTCGATAAGAGAGGGACGAGACCGGTATCTGGTTTGTCCGCGACACACAAGCCTCCCTGGCCAGTCTTTCTAACTCCAGCCATCCGGCCAGCGGTATTCCCTGGTGGAGGCGGGTAGCATTGAGCGAGGGCGAGCTTAGGACGAAATAAGATGCCAAGTCTGAACTTTAGATAGATAGCAGACCGGGAGAGAGAAAGGAACAGGAACCTGGAACATTCGGCACCGACCTTCTCGGCAAGAGGAGTGCTGTGTGAGCCCCGAGCTGTGAGCAAGTGCGTCTGTGATGGGATAAGAACCAGAGAAGCAGTGGCTGACCGTTGAAGAAAATTTGCTCAGCGGGACCCTCTCCAGCCCGGCTCTCCGCGAATCCCTCTTCCTGTTCGATCCCTGGCCTCCTGGCCTCTTCTCCTCATCCACGGCTAAGGCCCCTGCCTTCCCGCATCACCTGCCTGCTCCCTGACAGGCGTCACCTGGACCACCTCCCACGAAACGCTTTACATGTGAACCCTTGTACAGGGCACATTACACAAGCCAAGACAGGACCCACCACCTGTAGGAGAACAGAGTATGTGAAATGGGGCTGGTCTGAACGCGCAACGTGGGGTCATGTGCAAGGAAGGCACGGGATAAACACCGACGAGCAGACGGCGGGCGCTGGCCGTGGAGCCTCGTGTGGGGAGGTCCCTGGCTCTCCAGCCATGGTGACACGTTGCATGGCGAAGCGTCCTAGCGTCGCTCGGCCAGGACGGGCCTCTGGCCTCCTTCAGGAGTAAGTGGCGGCCTCCTGCTCTAGAACCCCGTCTGAACGGAGAGCCCACTCGGTCTGCCCTGGTCACCCACAGCCCCCACATGGCATCAGGGGCTGCCTGGGCCTTCGCTGTCAGGGACAGTCTCTAAAAATAGAAGCCCCGCCCCCGCGGGGTGGGGGAAACCACAGGAAACAGTTCAAAACCACTTCCAGTGGCCGTTCCCCTGCCCCCAGGAAGCTATGAATAGAAGCGGGGCCGCTGCTGGATTAATGGGCTGTTTGCCTGAGTCGTAAATCACAGGACAGTCCCGCATCTGAACAGTCTGCTGTTCCCACCGTCTCCCTCCCGAGGGGTGACCCGTGGGCTCCAGTGGCCCAGACCCCATCCGTGAGCACCGACCCCACGAGCAGCCCCTCGGGGGCGGGGTCTCCCAGGCCGTAGGATTCTGAGCCGGAACAAGAGTTGGTAAGTCCTGTAAATCACGGGAGATGAGTGCTACCTCTGTAAGCCTCTGCAGCGGTAAATGTCCCCGCGGGCCGCCCCACGCCTCTGCTCTGGGTTCCTTCCAAGCCCACGTTGGACCCTGCGTGCCCCCACCCCAGCTACTTGTATTTTATTTTTCAGCCACCTGTACAGGAGGAGAACCTGTGCGGCCGGACTCGCACAACGTGGCTTTTAATGTCGTTTCGTTTCCTTGGCTTTTGTTTTGCCGCAAGGCTGGCTGGCGACCCGCGTCTCGCCTCACGCTCTGTCAGGGTCACGGCGACCGTTGAAGAAAAGGCTGACATTGTCAGCGAGCCCTGTTCTTCATGGCAGTGACCACGGTAACGTCAACCAGCTGGGAAGATCGCTGCTGGCCTGACACCCGTCAGGGGCTCGAGGGGCCGCATCCGCGAGAGTGCGCCGCTCGGGCCCTGTAGACCGCACGCAGGCTTTCCGAAGGGGCAGAGACAGCAAGGTGTCCCCGCTTGCTGCCGATGTCCGCAGGACAAAATTCGGAGGGAGGAAACCTTTGGAAAAGCAACAAAGCGAGAGCCCAGGTCCTTGCGGTGGCCTGCAGGCCCACGACGCGGGCACGCCCTCTCCCCCCAAGCCACGCGGTCCCTCCCACCCTCACCTTTCTCTGGCCTCGGCCACAGTGTCCGCTCTGACGTCCAGCCTCCCTGGCCCACGGCCTCCACGACCGCCAACCCCACCCACCCACGGGCCCCCTGCCTCCCCTTCTCACATGTTCGTCACCATGGATCCGTGTGGCTCACTGTCTCCTTCCCGGGTAGGACCCCAGTGGCACAATACCAGGGCTCTTGTCTGCTTTTCCACTGACAAGAAGCTGGAGAAGTATTTGGTGTTTGTTGTGGGCTGAGTTGTGGCCCCCAAATTCATGTGTTGAAGTCCCCAGAATGTGACTGTCTTTGGAGACTGGGTCTTTAAAGAGGTGATGAGGGCTGGGAAAGATCAGCAGGGTGGCCTCTAAACCAGCCGGACCGGTGCCTTATAAGAAGGGGAGATCAGGACACAGACACACACAGAGTGACGACCACGTGGGGACACGGGCAGAAGAGGGCCGAGTACACACCGGGAAAGGGGCCTCGGGAGAGAGCAGCCCTGCCCGTGCCTGATCTGGGGTTTCCGGCCTCTAGAAATGTGAGAGAACCCGTCTCCATTGTTTAAGCCTCCCGGCCGGCGGTCCAATGGTGCTCTGCTGTGGCCATTCTGCAAACCAGTAGTTCTAAAACTGCAAACCAGAAGGACAGTTCTAGAAATACTGTGGATGAACGAATGCGCGCATGCTGGAACTTACTGGACACAGTGCACACAGTTCCTGGCCACGTCTTTCTGGACCAGGGAGCACGTCAGTGTGGGGGGAGGCCTCCAAATCCACCTTGCGCCTTCCGTCTCCTTCCTCTAGTGTGTTAGCTGCTCTGCCCGTTGTTGGAGGACTTGCCACCCCGGGACACAACATCAGGGAGCCGGCAGGTGTTCTCCGAGCACCTGCTCTGAGTGGGGACCACAGTGCACAGCGGCCACTGCCCCAATTCTCCCATTTCGTTGAGTTCTGTTCCGTTTCTCGTAACGTTACCTGTGCAGCAAGCCCAGCTAGACTGGGGAACACCTCTGGGGATCCCTCACTTTTTTTTTTAATGTTTGTTTATTTTTGAGAGAGAGGGAGAGAGGGAGAGAGAATCTGAAGCAGGCTCCGGGCTCCGATCTGTCAGCACAGAGCCCGATGTGGGCTTGAACTCAGGATGGTGAGATCATGACCTGAGCCAAAGTCAGATGCTTAACCAACTGAGCTACACAGGCAACCCATGGGGCCCCCTCACTTTCAGTTCACCTCCATGGTCCTTCCGATCACAGGCTTTGGGCAACTGTGTAACTAGGTAACTGGCCACGGGCTCTACTCGTGGCCCTGGGATGCCTCAGTGGACATGACAGCCCCTTCTCCCTGGAGCCAATGTTCCGGGGTGGGGCCGGGACACCAGAAAGAAACAGAGTCAACCTGTGTGGTAAACATAATAAAGGTCTATAAATAAAGATATAAAAATATGTTTATGTAAATGTGCAAAAAAGCACTTGTGCAATTAAATAGAAAAGAACTAATAATATGAGACACTCCGTGGGCTTTCCCAGTCTTGGGGAGGGGCTGGGTCTAATGGTTTGTGAGGACAGAAGGTGGAGCACATCCATCCTGGAGGCTGTTCTGGACCCCAGGAGGAGTCTCTTGAGGACCCTAAAGCTGGAGAGACAAAGAGGGATTACTTACTGACCCCCCCAAGGCAAGGCCAGCATCCCCTGCCCATCGCAGCTGTCCACGTCCCCTGGCCTCCTGACATCCTGGTCGTTTTTGGTTTGGGTGTTCCCCTGACGGGGACCCTCCCCTTTGGTGTGTGAAGACCGAGCCGCTGGAAACCAGGCGTGAACGTCCCTTTGACGCACAAGAGCTTTGCCTCGAAGCTGTGACTCCAAGGTGCTTGCGGCAAAGTGAGGCTGGAGACAGACACCTGCAGGTCGGTTCCAGGAACCAGACCCGAAGCAGACCCTCGCAATGGCAGGAAAGCGTCAGGCTTCCTCCCCCTTCCCGCCCCCTGCATGCAGCAGGGCCCCCGGTCATGCCTCAGTTTACTCACAATGAATACATAGCTGTATCGGGACCAAGAGTTAAGTCCTACTTGAAGCCTTGGCCCAAGTTTTCCGCAGCGTAGCGGGCGCTCAGGGACAAACCCAGCCTCTGGTAAAGGGCAGAGTCTTCTGAGGCCAGACGTGAAGCCACCATTCACCCACGAAGCGTACGGAGCTGCTAGAGAAGGCTGCCTCACCTCCCAGCACAGCCTCCGTCTTTGCCGGGACTTTCGTAGCTTCCACTACCTCTAACGATACCCTTCCAGATGGAACACTAAGCCCATATATGTTCTGTGACCGTATGTCACAGATGCCGGGATGGGGCATGGTTTGGGAAGGCTAAATCTGCCCGTTGGATGAGAGCTATTTTAGGGACTCTTGTCAGACCAGGGCAGCTGACCGTTCTCCACCCACCTCGTCTGCGGGCCGCAGGGAGGTGCGGGGAGGAGGTCACAGGGTCGGGGTGTCCACAGCCTCAAGGAGGGTGGAGCCAGAACCCGGAGTGCTATCTGAAGACACTGGAAGTAAGAAAGGCTTTCTGGACACTTCCTAACGCTCAAGGCCCAACACTCAGGGCTTGCTTTCCCGGACTTCTGGATCCAGCTGGCTGACAGGGTCTGGCTCCTCACGGGGCAGACAGTGCAGCCCCCGGGATCCAGCTTCCTCCCGGCATCCCGGCAGGAAGTGGCTCCGTCCCGTAGGGTAATGCCGGGCGTGTACTAGGGCCCAGAGGCTGGAAGGAGCCACTGCAGTGAGGCCGGGCCACCTGATGGAAGACGGCCCTAGGACCGGGCTCCAGGCTTCCAGGCGGGCCCCAGGGCTGGGCTTCAGTTGGTGTCCCCGGGGAAGACCAAGGTCAAAATGAAGGTCAAGTCCCTGGGAAGAAGGAGGAAGCCATGCCTTCTGGGCTGACACACGTCTGTTGTATATCTAATCCGTCAACCCAAGAGAGAAACATCTGAACTTTTCTGCTTACACTTCCTTATCGCTGTGTTTCTGCTTCCTTCTCAGCATACTTTCTGACAGATTTTGCCTCTTATCAAAAGAGAAAGGCGCATTATTTGAGGCGTGAGTATATTCATGGCAATCCCAACCATAACCTTCCTTGTAGAAGGACACTTTCTGGAAGCTTCCTTTTGACCTTCGTGATTTTAGCTTTTGTTTCTGTTTTGTCTCAATGTCACACTGTGGCTTATCTGTAGCCTGTTATGTGCCCAGCACAGAGTAGGTACTCAGATGCTTTGTTAAATAAATGAACAAATTAAAAAGCAGAAAAAGGGATCATTTTGACATCGGCCCTTCCAAGTAGGCGGACTCCTGATTATTTAAGTGCACGTTGGTTTCGCGATTCAGCATTTTCTGCCTAATGATGGACTTGTTTCCCATAATCAATTAATTTAGACTTATCTTTCAGGGAGCTGGAATACATACCCCACTGCGATTTCTTTCTTTAAGAAAGGGGCATATGGGGCGCCTGGGTGGCGCAGTCGGTTAAGCGTCCGACTTCAGCCAGGTCACGATCTCACGGTCCGTGAGTTCGAGCCCCGCGTCAGGCTCTGGGCTGATGGCTCGGAGCCTGGAGCCTGTTTCCGGGGGCGCCTGGGTGGCGCAGTCGGTTAAGCGTCTGACTTCAGCCAGGTCACGATCTCGCGGTCCGTGAGTTCGAGCCCCGCGTCGGGCTCTGGGCTGATGGCTCAGAGCCTGGAGCTGGCTTCCGATTCTGTGTCTCCCTCTCTCTCTCTGCCCCTCCCCCATTCATGCTCTGTCTCTCTCTGTCCCAAAAATAAATAAACGTTGAAAAAAAAATTTAAAAAAAAAAATAAATAAAATGTGTTCATTTTACATTTGAATTTGATTGGACAACAGTGTAAAGTAAGATGGAGGGAATTGCTGAAATAATTCTTTACCACAAGAGGATAATTTCTGGAAGTCGCTCTAAGCTGAGAAAGGAGCCCAGAGGCAGTGTTTCTGCCCGCTGCACCCTTAAGGTGGCACTGTGTGACCTTCCCGTTGGAAAGAGGGGGTCCTGGGGCACCTGGGTGGCTCAGTCGGTTAAGCGTCAGACTTCAGCTCAGGTCACGATCTCACGGTCCGTGAGTTCGAGCCCCGCGTCGGGCTCTGGGCTGACGGCTCAGATCCTGGAGCCTGCTTCCGATTCTGTGTCTCTCTCTCTCTCTCTGTCCCTCCCTCGCTCATTCTCTGTCTCTGTCTCTCAAAAAATAAATGAACATTAAAAAAAATTAAAAAAAAAAAAAAAGAGGGGCCTGGGGCCGCTGACCCCTGTGTCTGTGCCCCCGGGCAGGGTCACGCCATGGAAGCTGTATTCTGACACGGCAGCACCCCGCGTGTGGGGCCCCACATTCAGCGTTTGTACTGCATAACGTTCTGTTCCGCAACAACGGCCCCAAGTGTGCAAAATCCCATATTCAGGTGGATTTCATTTTTTCTGCAATCATTTATAATGGTCTGTCCGTTCTTTTTTATTCTGCTTCAGTTTCTCATTTATAGCTGCATTTCGTCCAGGAGTTCTCCGCGCCCTACGTGGGACTCGTGAGCGGGACGTCCAGCGTTTTCTCGTGTTGTTTTAGAATTCACCTGCGTCTGTCATCTTCCTACCGAAAGGCAACTTGTCTGGACTTCGTAATCTTTGTCCCATTTTCTTTCCCTCGGAGCCCTGGAGAACCTCCTGGGTCATCTGGCCTACGAGCGGCAGACGCGTTTCAGACCAGCTTTCCCTCTCCCCTTGGCGTGTGCTCTCCAGGAACGCGGTTGGGCCATGTCGTGTTGTCTGTGGCTTCCTGACGCGCGGGGGGCGCTTCTGGCCCACCTGGCTTTCGTGGGGGGTGGGTGGCCTGAATGTGCTCACCGCTCATCCGGCGGCATCCCCGGTGCCTGCCCTCCGGTCCACCGCCTTCTCCCCGCTAGCCAGGAGCTCTTCTAGCCTCTCCCTTCCCGTTAGCCGCGACCATCTCAGGGTTTCCCGCTGTCTCACGTGTCACCCTCCACCACTCCGTTCCTTGCTCCCCAGAGCCACGCTGGGAGCCCTGTGTCCCTGCTGTCCCTGTGCTTCAGCCAAAGTGAGTCCATGGCCAAGGGGCCCGAGCTGTGGCTCTGCTCCTGGACCGTCCAACGCAGAGCCTGGGCTCTCCGGACGCACCACCTACTTCTCTGCTCCGCACGCTCGGATTTTAACTTCCAGCCTCAATAACAGCTTCAAATGTTCCTCCGCTCCGCCGATGTGTGTGATATCGGGGACCGACATTTCATCCAAACGCCAGTCTAACCCAGAGCGGGCCCTCTGGCCTTTCTCTGCCCCTCTGCCCCTTCCCCACCCCCACTGCTCGTTTTTGATTCTCGCGCCCAGAACCGGAGGTGATCTCTGTCCGAGTCCTTGCTGGGACCCAGCCCGCCGAACCGGGTGTGGGCGAAGGCTTGTTCTATCGGATCGTGAAGGTTGTCAGTCGGCGAGGACTGCTGTAGAAAGCACCTCCCAGATGTGGGCAAGTTTTTATTACAGAAAGATGAATTGCCACTACATTTTTGATTTCTAGATAATGTGTGTTTCGTGCCCCCCACAAAGAGCCGATGTCTGGGAGAATATACTGTGTAGACCCCAGCTCGTGTAGAGGGCGTCTCGGGGTTCCTACCTGAATCTCTGCTCCACAGACTGAACTTCTCCCGTCCACTGGCTTAGAAGCGTAAGATTCGCCCAGTCAGTGCAAACACGTTGGCTCCCTGGCTGTGCCTCCCCAAAGATTTCTGACGGGGTACACAGAGCCACTGTCAAAAAAGCCTGAAGCTGTGAGCTAGAAATGCAGCCCCAGCCACGCTGCCTCTGTGCTGAGTCCCCAGCATAGCACCCCCAATCCTGCCTCAGGACCTTGGCACTTGTTGTTCCCTCCAAACATTCACCCCACCAGGTATCAACATAGTTCACCCGTCACTTGTAGATAACTTCCAAACTGTGATCTGATCAGAGAGTTTCTCCGCCGCGTCTGTCCAGGATAGCACACACACACACACACACATACATGCACAGGTGCACACACATAGACACACGTGCACACAACCATACACAGACGTGTGCACACGCACAGCCACATACGCATGTACACACACACACACTCCTGTGCTCACGCACACTCGCACACGCGCTCTTTCCCGTCTGCCATGCTTCATCTTCCGCCACGGTAGTCCCCGCCCCTTGCAAATGGAACAGAGACTCCAGAGGCCCCAGGACGACGTGTGATGCTGCAGGGTATCCCCTGAACCTTGCACGGCCTCTGGCGCTTGGTCGAACACACCCCCACTTGTGGAGTGGGTCCAAGCACGCACGGCCAGCTTGGCGGACAGCCTCGGGCGCCCGGGTTTGCGAGTGTGTGTGGGCTCTGAGTCAGGTGTGGGGGAATAGATTCAAGTCCCACTCCTTCGCTTACTGACCGCGTGACACCCCCCCCCCCCACCTCTCTGAGCCCCACCCCCACCCCGGGTGTAAACAGGGAAACGCTAAGGCTCAGGGAACCGACCAGGTTGTCGTGAGAATGGAAGGAGGTGATGTGCCGACATGGGGCTGGGGGCAGAGCAGGACACATCGATCGGGCTGACCCCAAGCCGTGTGGTGTGCGGCCGCCCGGCACGGATCGGGCTCACGGCTGCGGATGTGTGCGTCCTCTCCCGGTAACAAGTGTTGCTTAGTACGTTTTGCTGAATTCACAAAGAGGCAGCCCCAGCTCTGCTGGTCCGGCCCCCGGTACCTGAGGGGCTGGTCCAGTTCTGGGGTCTCTGCTCAGGCAGCGAGCTCAGCAACGCCCCGATGGAGGGAAGGAAAGGAGTCGCCCATCCATCCTTCTTTCCTGCCTTGCAGCTTCACGAAAGCCTTTCCTTCCCTGCCCCCATCCGGGAAGGGGAGATCAGTGTTGTCGGCTTCCAGCCTCTGAGCTGCCTCTCCCCATGCAGGTGGGGGCTGAGAGGACGGGGTGGGGGGCACAGAGGGGCACTTGCAATGCTTCAGGCGTGGGGAGGCCCCCTCCCAGGAATGCAGGGGGCCAAGGAGGCAGCTCTTCGGAAAGGGCAGGACACAGACGCCCTGGGACTCAGGGACGGGGCCGCCAAGTCGAATAGGAATCAGTTTTAGTACAAGTATGTGCCATGCCGTGTTTGAACTGCAGGTAAACAGCAAAGACTTTTTTAGAGAACAAGTATGTCCCACGCAATATTTGAATTCCAGATAAAAATGAATAACTTTGACAGAAGCTTATCCTCTGCAACATTTTCGTTTCAAACAAAAAACGGTGAGTTTTACCGTAAACCACGTACCACGCAACTAAAAAAAGATTCATCATTGTTGTGGGTTGAGTAGCATCCCCCTGGACCCGCCAGATGCGACTTTATCTGGAAACGGGGTCTTCACAAATGAAATGAGCTAAGATGAGGTCACACCGGGTGAGG